TGTTGGTGACACGCAGAAATACAGAACCACGTTGATTGCCGGTTAACACTCGGCATGGGAAAACAGAACCGAACTGCAGCAAAACCTGCCTGTCTTGGACGCAGTTCCTGCGATTTCGATAACGTCGAAAACGTCGACACAGTTCCGCGTGGTTCCACTACTGTAGTTCCGCGTGGGTCCCGCAAACTAGGAGGTTTTAAATCTCCTTGCCTGCAAACCGGAGACTGCCATTTTACCCAGTGTATGTAGCGCTGCTGGCATACTCCGGAACTTCGCTGTTTCTATCGGCTTCGTTTGCTCGTTTGATAAAATTAGTGGTAGAAACGTCAACGCAACTGAAATGTTCTGCACGTTTGGACTAGAAGACGTAATTACAGGCGGCCTTCGCTGCTGCTGAAGCTCAATCAACTCAACAACATTTATTAAAAAACGTGCGCGACGTGCTCGAAAAGCGGAGCCGAAAGAAGATGAGTCGGGAGGGCGAAAGCTTTCTACCGTCTGCCTGGAGAAAGAGAAAAACGTCTCGTTCCTCCTTACTTCTCGTGTCCGCTGGGGGGCGCGTCAGTGGGAGGGAGAAAGATGCGCCTTGCAACCTTTTTCCTCTATTTGTCCTTAGAGTGTAGCCAAAATCAAGTTCTGGCATAATAGACCAACATAAGGAGCGTGAGGTTCGTTTGCCGCATTTCTGGCGATAAGTAGTGAACTTCTGAATTGCATTATGCGGTGTTTGTTTACGTTTCTTATATGCTTACTTGTGAAGTAAGAGCTGTTGTAATGCGTGCTATTTATTAAAGGGACCATGAAATGATTTTAAAATCGAGTTTCATCCACCGCACGTCGTAAAAGGTGTGAAAAGAAACACAAAAACACAAAAATAGGGAGCCAAAAAAAATTATTTGCTATAGAACTTTTAAAAGAAAACTGGACTCTTTTGCGCCTTCCTTCCTTCGCCTGTTCACTACGATGCATCCGCGGAAATGGAGCACGTCAGCCAAATCCAGGTCGCCTATTGGGTAAGAGCCTACCTCACCAGCACCGCGATCGTAAACGATAAATAGCCGGCGAACGTTTCCTAAAAGTTTTGTTAAAATAATATTCAGATCCACATTTTGTAGCATAATTAGAGATGTGTGGCGAAAATTGCCAAATTTGATAATGCTGAGAGCCAGGCGCCATCTATCGTGTGGTAAACGAAGGAACTACTGCGCGTGCGCAGTAGGGCAGGGCCGACAGTTACTTGGGTGGCGGCCAGCGACGAACGTTTATTTTCTTTGTTTTCCTTCCTCTCAAAACTCTGACTGACTGAACGTTTATTTTTCTACGTGTTCTTCCCGCGCGTGCCGACTTCAAGCAGCAAGAAAACAGTACTTAAAACAGACCACGACGAACAAGAACGCTGGATCCACCGACTCCGACGAAGCGTATAGGCCTAGCAGGCATTCCGACTCGGCGCTGCGTTGCTTCGTCGCAAGACCGTCTGCCTGCGATCGGTTGGCGTGCTAAATGGAATATGCCCGCGCGACCCTTGTGGACCCTTCCCGTATTATAGTTTGATCACTGACCTCAATTCTAGATTAAGAGGTGAGGTCAATCTCTTCCCCTTGTTTTCCGAGGCAGTGTTGACGAACACTCGTCGAAAAGGGACTCTCGTCGATTCTATCTTCTTGTTTTGTGTGATATAGAGCTGAAATAAACGCCGTATGGATTACCTTCGTAACACGGTATGTGCACTTTGTTATTAGTATGCCATTTTTATTCTGACTGACTGCACGTCACTGTCGAGCTATAACAGTTCGTGGGAGGTATACGTACAACCCCGGTCCAACTTTTCTTTGCCGAGTGTCGCGTCAGTATCGAGTTGCAATCGTAAAAGAACGGTCCCAAAGCGCTTACAAACAGCGCGAATACAAGACTTCCATCAAGCGCGCGCGTCCGCTCCGAGTGTAAACAGGTATTTACGTGGCTCTTGCTGACACTCGTAGTTCAAACGTATCTTTTTTAACTTTTTAACGTCGGCTCGCTCCTGCATCTCCGAGGCCGCGAAAAACGCCATCTACGTCGCTTTGCAAACGACTGACACGGGCCGGCCCTTCTGCCAACAATGACGGGGTGGTTGACTTCTGGAGTCTTCACCGGAAGACTCGCTGCACTTCCCAACAGGCATACCGGCGTATGGGACTAGTCCCATGCTGTCGCTGTAGCGCAACATATCTCATTGAATTTCGCTCAGCTGCGATGCGGCGATGAGAGGCGCCGATTCAGGAAATACGTCGGTGACATCAGCGCAGTAAAACCTACCGGCGCACCCCAACTCGTTGCCGCTAACACTCCAATTCTCCTACTGCCGAGAAAACTTCCGGTTCCGGAAACGGCCTACGTCACGGCTTCTTTTGCGGTCAGTTGGAGAGAATGAAAAAGTCGATATTTCAATAATTTTTTTGTGTAGAAGTTAATAAACCGAGACGAAAACGGATGCCTGTTCGGCGTTCAGTGAACATTGACGGTTTAATGTAAAAGTTATCTGGTAAAAGTAAAAAGGTCATTTCATGGTCCCTTTAAATAAATAGGTCGGCTTAGGCAAATGAAACACCGCGTTTTATTCGAAAGGGCAAACACTAGGAATGCGATAAATGTCCACAACCCGAAAGCCTACTATCTATTTCTTGAATTATATTTGACTTTTTGCTAAATAAAAAAAGTGTGGGTTACCTACCTGCTCGTTTTAGTTGGATTATCGCTTTTGCGTTCCCAATCTTTTTATTTTACCCTTTGTCTTCATTTCTGAAGAATATATATATATATATATATATATATATATATATATATATATATATATATTACGTTTTGACGTAGATTAAACACGACACTTGCAACGGACGGCATTTTTTAAGTATGAATAATCAGCTTTGAGCTATTTGGAACGTGTTTATTGCGTAAATATTTGACTAGTAAATGCAAATATTGCTGGTGCATATTACACGTAGCATTTGTTTGTTATATTCATGCGACTGGTCGCATTGCAGCTGAATGTCTTCAAAAAGATGGGAGAATTGCCAAGATGCCGGTTGACCCTAAAAAGAGTGGCAAATAATTAAGAATAATAAGATTTACATGTACACTTCAGAAATTCTAAAACTTTTAACTGAAGAAAATTTCCTAGAGTTTAGTTCACGAAATGTTGTAAAGGCTTTCATGATAAAATGGTACCTTATTTTAGATGGGGAATGAGGGTCCCGCTTGACAATGTCCCTGAGTTCTGCGTCCTGATCGTTTTGGCAAAAGCAAAAGTGGCAAAAGCTCAAAACTCTGACTGACTGAACGTTTATTTTTCTACGTGTTCTTCCCGCGCGTGCCGACTTCAAGCAGCAAGAAAACAGTACTTAAAACAGACCACGACGAACAAGAACGCTGGATCCACCGACTCCGACGAAGCGTATAGGCCTAGCAGGCATTCCGACTCGGCGCTGCGTTGCTTCGTCGCAAGACCGTCTGCCTGCGATCGGTTGGCGTGCTAAATGGAATATGCCCGCGCGACCCTTGTGGACCCTTCCCGTATTATAGTTTGATCACTGACCTCAATTCTAGATTAAGAGGTGAGGTCAATCTCTTCCCCTTGTTTTCCGAGGCAGTGTTGACGAACACTCGTCGAAAAGGGACTCTCGTCGATTCTATCTTCTTGTTTTGTGTGATATAGAGCTGAAATAAACGCCGTATGGATTACCTTCGTAACACGGTATGTGCACTTTGTTATTAGTATGCCATTTTTATTCTGACTGACTGCACGTCACTGTCGAGCTATAACAGTTCGTGGGAGGTATACGTACAACCCCGGTCCAACTTTTCTTTGCCGAGTGTCGCGTCAGTATCGAGTTGCAATCGTAAAAGAACGGTCCCAAAGCGCTTACAAACAGCGCGAATACAAGACTTCCATCAAGCGCGCGCGTCCGCTCCGAGTGTAAACAGGTATTTACGTGGCTCTTGCTGACACTCGTAGTTCAAACGTATCTTTTTTAACTTTTTAACGTCGGCTCGCTCCTGCATCTCCGAGGCCGCGAAAAACGCCATCTACGTCGCTTTGCAAACGACTGACACGGGCCGGCCCTTCTGCCAACAATGACGGGGTGGTTGACTTCTGGAGTCTTCACCGGAAGACTCGCTGCACTTCCCAACAGGCATACCGGCGTATGGGACTAGTCCCATGCTGTCGCTGTAGCGCAACATATCTCATTGAATTTCGCTCAGCTGCGATGCGGCGATGAGAGGCGCCGATTCAGGAAATACGTCGGTGACATCAGCGCAGTAAAACCTACCGGCGCACCCCAACTCGTTGCCGCTAACACTCCAATTCTCCTACTGCCGAGAAAACTTCCGGTTCCGGAAACGGCCTACGTCACGGCTTCTTTTGCGGTCAGTTGGAGAGAATGAAAAAGTCGATATTTCAATAATTTTTTTGTGTAGAAGTTAATAAACCGAGACGAAAACGGATGCCTGTTCGGCGTTCAGTGAACATTGACGGTTTAATGTAAAAGTTATCTGGTAAAAGTAAAAAGGTCATTTCATGGTCCCTTTAAATAAATAGGTCGGCTTAGGCAAATGAAACACCGCGTTTTATTCGAAAGGGCAAACACTAGGAATGCGATAAATGTCCACAACCCGAAAGCCTACTATCTATTTCTTGAATTATATTTGACTTTTTGCTAAATAAAAAAAGTGTGGGTTACCTACCTGCTCGTTTTAGTTGGATTATCGCTTTTGCGTTCCCAATCTTTTTATTTTACCCTTTGTCTTCATTTCTGAAGAATATATATATATATATATATATATATATATATATATATATATATATATATATATATATATATATTACGTTTTGACGTAGATTAAACACGACACTTGCAACGGACGGCATTTTTTAAGTATGAATAATCAGCTTTGAGCTATTTGGAACGTGTTTATTGCGTAAATATTTGACTAGTAAATGCAAATATTGCTGGTGCATATTACACGTAGCATTTGTTTGTTATATTCATGCGACTGGTCGCATTGCAGCTGAATGTCTTCAAAAAGATGGGAGAATTGCCAAGATGCCGGTTGACCCTAAAAAGAGTGGCAAATAATTAAGAATAATAAGATTTACATGTACACTTCAGAAATTCTAAAACTTTTAACTGAAGAAAATTTCCTAGAGTTTAGTTCACGAAATGTTGTAAAGGCTTTCATGATAAAATGGTACCTTATTTTAGATGGGGAATGAGGGTCCCGCTTGACAATGTCCCTGAGTTCTGCGTCCTGATCGTTTTGGCAAAAGCTCTGTAGAACAAAACAGGAGTACACTGAGGGCAACCTGCAATAACTCAAATTTACATTTAATATGCCAGAAAAAACTTTCGATATTTCGAAATGCAATATTCAAATATATATTTTTATGAGCGGCAAGCCCCCTAGAGCTGAAAGAAAAAGTGCAAAATATTTTAGAATTTAAAGGTTCCCGAATTCTAACTTGAAGATTATGGAAATGAATTTGGTATCGCACCCCTTGCGTGCCAAGCATAAACAGGTAGGGACTTATCGTGAAAGTGCACCAAATATAAATAATTATTCAACAATAGGCAACGTTTTTGTTAACCTGTAAAAAAAAAAAAAAGTTATTTTGTTGTTGTTTTCTAAACAGAGTAGCGATTAACATGATCTCCCACCGCCGCGCTGGAGGCTCTGCCGCAGCTGGCCTATTTGCCAGTGGCTGAAAATGAACCTTGTATTTATTAAACTGACAAAAAACCTTACAGACGGAAGGAACGAGAATTCGTCCGTCATTCTCGTATCGCCTTGAGACATAACGTCTGGCTATCGGAACGCCCACATGCGAAACAATGTTCGGTGTTCTCGATTCGTGTAATGAATTTAGAGTAGAGGTCTTCGTTTCAGACATAAGCAGTGAAAACACGCAGATTTATTTAATATACTGTAGCTCTCTGTTTCGCATTTCGCTGCCATCAACTAACATTTAAAGGTCAAATTGTCAAGTTCCCTAAATGTGGATTTTATGGTAGGTATAATAGGCAATACGAATGAAAGGCGGCCGTGCCCTGAGCGAATACAACTTGAGTTATAATCTTGTCATTTTAATATTAAAGCATGTTTGTGAAAACACAAACGTAAGCGTACACCCATTAGACTGCCGCGAGTGAAAATTCCCTCGTAGAAGCCCTTTGCCTTCAGTTTTATATCTTATAAAGTGTAGCCTTTGAGAAGAAACAAACAGGAACACATTCAGATGCGCTGAGAAAGGCCAATACATTCCAGGAAAACAGACTTTCTGGCTATAATCATGGACAACTAAGAAACGCAATATCTCTTTTCTTCAGCTGTCAGTGATATTAGGAGGTCAGTGATAGCCCTACGGAGTGCGGGGGTGATAATTAATTTTATTTAATATAATTCGCTTTATTTTCATTTGTGTTATTTTAGTGCCGCAGAAACAGCTATGCTCCTTTTGGTGGTGCACTACGTCGTAATAATAAGAATTTGCATCTCAAGAACATGCGCTTACATCTCAGAATGAAAGGAAGACTCCAATTCACTCTCTCATTGTTTGTTCGCAACCAATAATATCAATATAAAACTTACGTAAGGTGGAGTCGAAGTCGTTAAAAAGAAGAAACAAAAGTCGCAGGACGGGTGATGGGGTAAGTGCTATGTAAAACGTGAGCGTTCAAAACCAGACTTTTGTGTAAGACGTTAATATACGATGTTCAGTAGCGCTGCGCAATGATTAAACACATTGACATCCTAGAGCAAAAACATGACCTCACTCATCATCCGTCTATTATACAAATAGTGTGTGCCAGTCAGCTCCCCCATGCTTTCATAGTCATAAAACAAACGTCTCGTCAAGTACGACAATGGCAACAAACGGCAATCTCCTTTCAGTTAACTAGAAGATCGGTGATGCTACCAATACTTTCAACCTACACCTTCTCGCACACAGGTTGACCTTCGCGGTTGTTTAACATGATATCACTCCTTTCATAGAAAATGCACATGCGCAAATGGCCCGGTGATGAAAACAAAGCTTTCACTTTTAATTTCATATTTATGGAGAAAATACTCACATATGCCAGTGATATAAAAAACAACTGGTCAGCATTAAACTCAGTCATGCATGGCAAGCGCTGCGGCGTGGAGGGGTGCTGCGTCAACAGTTTCTTATGAGCCTGCGGAAACAAATAACTGTTAGTTCAGGAGTGTACGAAAAGCTGTCAGATTTATTTTATACTCGGAATTTTTAAGATTAATGTTCACGACGCTCTAAAAAGACAAAGACAAGCAAGGAGCGGTAGACAAGGAAAGCACTCAACTCTCAATTTAATATTTACTGAGGAAACAACTATGTGAACACTTATAACGGAATAACGAGCACGTGCCCCAAAACGCAGTACCACTTTTTTACGAATAAGATATTTAGCTGAGGCAGTTATCTTACCCTCTCTGCTTTTCTTTTAAAAAGGCTGCTTACCCAATCATTTTTGGGCTATTTTGATTGTACTCTTCCACCACAATAATAATGATGCCTTTAAAATTAGGATGACTTTTTTCAAACCGCACATTTCTACGGTTGATGACACGCTTACAATGATATCGTCACATGCATTGGTGTAGATTCTGGGGGGGGGGGGGGGGGAGCATCGGGGCTCGTGCCCCACCTGGTAAAAGCCAAGAGGGGCAAGCCCCCCCCCCCCCCCCCCCCCCCCCCCCACCGGGCCCGGGCCATCATCCTTACCGAGACGCTGTTTACGTGCCATGTAACGAGCTTCTAGTAGCGGCATGTCAACGAAATAACGCCTACGTTGCCTTGATTGACAAAATACATGGGAAATGGAATAACAGCGTGTTTTCGTTAGCTTCAATCTCCAGTTCTGTCGAGAAGGTAACGCGCTGCACGCTGCAACCCCCCCCCCCCCCCCCCCCAAATCGGGAGAACTCAGCCTTCCCCCCCCCCCCCTTTCCCGGGAAAATGGAAAGTCTACGCTGCTGGCCACATGGGTGTATAATTATCTGATTTCTTTATATCAATGATTTCTTCTGAGTTACTAGCATCCTATTCTACGAGAGGGGATCCAAAAGTAACCGGCAGGGATGGGCAGTATTTCAAATACAAGTATTTGAAATACGTATTTTAAATACTTCGTGTATTTTGCATTTGTATTTAATTACAAATGGGGTAATGTATTTGACCTGCGTATTTAAATACTATAACGTGGGTATTTCAAATACAATTGTAATTAAATACAATTTTGAGGGCGAAATTTATTTTCACTGTCCAGAGCAGGAAGAAAACTACGTTCTGCACCGAATGCAGTGTCTCTCAGTCAAGCACAAGCGTTTAGTGACTTTGTGATTACGGTGCTAGGGCAAGAATAGTGACGAAATCGACGTTCACAGGTAGACTGGCAAAATACGTGCCTGTGACAACTTGTGATGCTTTCCAGCCTGATTTCCCTCCATATTTTTGCCTGGAACATTCTAAATGCACGGGTCGTCCAGATTTTCGTAACTGGTGCGAGTCGCAACAATAAAAAATTCTCTAGCTAGTGGTGCGCGTCTTGGTCGTCTCGCTTCTTTGTTGGTCTATGCCAAAATGTAATCGACAAAAAAAAAAAACTGATTGAAGCTCTGTACTTTTTTCAACTATTACGTCCAAGCTGATTACATTTTTTTTTTGTGATTATAATTCTCTTACGTTACTAGAGCCTCGCGCACTAACTCCCGAGTGTACAATGCAAAATTAAAATGCGATGCCCAGAAACCCGTTGCAGCTGCCCTGAAGTCGCTGACGCAAATTTTGAGGAATGTATTTGGAAAAGTATTTATAGGAGACCAAATACATTTGGTTGTATTTGTATCTTGTATTTAAATGCTTTTTTTGGAAAATTAATTAGATTTGTAATTAAATACATTTTTGACGAAGTATTTTGTATTTGTATTTCGATACATATTTGCATGTATTTTGCCCATCCCTGGTAACCGGAATGAATTTCTTGAAGGCGGGCGATTCGTCGTACCAGCTTCAGCCGCTAGCTGGGCTTAGCGGCAGAAGCTATAGAGAGAATGGTCAATATGTAAAGAAAATGGTCATTAATTGGTAAGAACAGGGCGCAAACAAGGGTGCCTCGTTGGCTGAAGTTGTTTCAATGACCTTGGGTGCGTTGATTGACAGCTCTTGTGGCCAAACACTAGCCACAAATGTTCTCCTAGCGAAAGCAATGAGCATAACAAGTACCCTCCAATCACAATTTCTAGGTAAGGATGTATTCAAGCATTTCATTTCAGCACACAAGAGTGGAAATCTGCGAATCTTCGTAACTGAAAGGGCAATATACGTGACGTTGTTGTTACTGCGATATTCAGAACGCACTCAAGCTTTCTTTTGACGGCACTCGCGGTGGCGACCGCTGCCGCGGCCACGACGGAATGGACGATAAAAAATAAGGATTCGGCTCCGTGGGAGTTTTGACCCAAACCCGAACGCGAACCCCACATTCGTAGTTGCGCCTCAAGTTACAGAAATTGTTTCTCGTCAATGTCACCTTTCCTGGCTTAATAAAGGCACTCAGCACCTTGAAACTTTCCTTTTCCCTCCTATAACTTATAATTATACATTCCTGTACTTCAAACATCATCAGAAAAAAAAAAACAAAAAAAAAACTGCTCCGCGCTACGCCAATTTAGCACATTCAACTTTGCAACTTTATCACGGGGGAATATGCGGCGCTGGCGGGAACCGGGGCTCTCCATCCCGGCTCACGCCGGCTACTGCCATGGACCAGACTCACTCTGTACCAGGGTGTAAGATAGACAGGTGGGGAAACGGCCCATAGAAGTCTACCGCAGCGCCGTGACCGGATTGTGTACTCGTCTGCTTACGGAAAAAGATCGGAATCGGATTTGCATGAACCTTTCTGGGAGAGTGCGCAAAATAAACCGAGCACGACTGTCCTTTATTAAAATCCACGAGAAACCATCTCCGTCAGTCTAGCCGATCGCCACCGGTCGCCCACCCGGAGTTGGAGTTCGTGGTGCTCCTCATAGAGGGCGCCACAGAAAAAGGGAAAACCGAGAGGGACACAATCCGGTCGCTCATTTGGCTCTCGTTTCCCCACCTGTCTATCTTGCACCCTGCTCTATACCATAGCCTCCTCTATACGGAGAAAGCCTGGCACATCGACGACGGAACAATAGGGCGAGCGGCCGCAGGAAAAAGGAGAGGAGGAGCGCGCCGAACGGTGACCAATATGGTAGCGCAGAGCAGAAAGGGCAGACCTAGACAGCGAGCGCTTGGGTCATGAGCGGCCGCTCCCCGAACCACGCTTGTTTTTGTGTTTTCGTCACCGTCGTTTTTGTACTCCGGGAGAAACGGGCGCGGCGATTCGAAAGGACGCAGGGAGAATCGGGAAAGGGTGGATGTTGGGTTTCTCCTCTCCACGATAGCGACAAGAAAAGAGAGAGAGAGAGAAAAAAAGATTGTTTCTGCGTTTGGCCACTCGCTCTTTTGTGGCGCTAGCGAGCAAGGTCCTCTCCGCTCCCGTTTCTCCGCCCCTCCTTTCCCATTTACGGCGGCCGTCTTTTCACGCGACGCGCCAGGCTTTCTCCGTATAGAGGAGGCTATGTCTATACACGGCTCTCCCCCTTCCGGGTCATTTTGCCGACCGGCGTCGTTTGTTAAAGTTCTAGGAGCGTGGTGCAAATATTTTCCCCAAGAGTTTTAAAACGATTTCTACTTTTTTTTTTTTTGCAATGTCCGATTTGAATGAACACCTTGCGGCTGTGAAAATTATTATTTTCTTTTAGGAAAAATGGCGGCGGAAATTCATGTAATACTTCAGCAAGTTTTCAATGAAGATGCTATGAAGAAATCGCAGGCATATGCGTGGTTTTCTCGCTTCAAGGCTGGTGAAATATTGATGAACACCCAACGACGCTCAGGGAATTTGCGAGGGGAAATGCCACGATTTGTGGGGAATGGGAAAGTGGTGGTTCCATCACGACAATTCCCCAGCACACATGCTCTGTCAGTGCAGCAATTTTTGAACAAAAATAACAAAGCACCTCTTCCCCCCCCCCCGGCCCTCTTTTTTTTTGAATGGACCTCGTCCCGTGTGACATTTCCTGTACGCCCTTATAAAAAAAATTATTGAATAAAAAATGTTTTGTAAATGTCGGAGATCCTTCAAAGCAGACATTGAATAAAACGAGAAGTGATTTTGAAGCGCTTGGGGATAAAATTCACGACATGGCGTAGAACTATTGCAGACCATGCTGATCGGAAAATTTACGGTGCCACTAAGCGCTGCTGGCGGCGGATGATGGTACTACGAACAGCCCGCCCTACCGAAGTTCATTCAGTTACTTTTCGGTACCCCACGGTACTTTTTAGAGCGCAGCTCTTAGGGGCCCGTTCCCGGCTTGAGCGGCGTCGCCGTCGCCGTCGCCGTCGGCGTCGCCGTCGGCGTAACCAAGGTCATCCCAAGGTCACGTGACCCCCAAGGTCACGTGACCCCTCCAGGTCACGTGACCCCTCCCAAGGTCATCTCAAGGTCACGTGACCCCACGTGACTCCCAAGGTCACGTGACCCCTCAAGGTCACGTGACCCCTCCCAAGGTCATCTCAAGGTCACGTGACCCCAAGACCCCACGTGACCCTTTGAAGGTCACGTGACCCCCAAGTCACGTGACCCCTCTAAGGTCACGTGACCCCCGAGGTCAGGTGGTCTCCTCCCCAAGGTCACGTGACCCCCAAGGTCACGTGACCCCTCCCAAGGTCATCTCAAGTTCACGTGACCCCAAGGTGACCCCCACGTGACCCCCAGGTCATGTGACCCCTCTGAGGTCACGTGACCCCCCCTCCCCGAAGTCACGTGACACCCCCCCCCCCCCCCCCGAGGTCACGTGACCGCCCCCCCGGAGCATATTAAAGAATGAGGGGAGGAGGAGGGGTCTACCCTCCCCTCAGTACCCTTCACTCCTCCTCCTCAAGAGCTGCGCTCCAATTCGGCGTTACAGGGAATTGTAAACGGCTTTCACTTTTTTTTAATCAAATTTTGTACTTGTTTGCGCGCTGTATAGACCTAAAGCATAAACTAACTCTCCAGTAGTGCTACTCTGATTCTCGTGCTTTATTAACCTTGATACTCACCTCAAATGCAGTTTGTAAGCCTTTAATATCGGCAATATTTTCGTAAAGTGTTTCATATCCACTAATCTGTTAAAAATGCAAAAAATATTAGGTATTTCACAAGCATGTAAATAAACTAAGCAAAATATATTACGTTCAAGCCAGTTTCTTCTTCCGTCTGACCATCATACAGTTTGTCGACACAACTTTTGAGGGGAGTGAAATTCTGCGTCGTGTTTTCATTCCACCATTCGCGTTTGTTTCCATTCCCGTCGTGATGATTTCCTAGAAAGTATTTATAGTTTAAAATAGATTTATCTAATAGGTATTATTAATTTACAAACCTGGGTAAAAAAAGCCGTGATTGAGCTCGTGTCCTAAAATAAATCCCAGAGTTCCCATTTTGACAGAGCTGTAGCCGTTGAAGGTAAATATATATTAATATCATGCAATTTAGTTATTTTTAGGGTAGCCAAGCCAGGCACGATTGTTGAAAGCATTTTCATCTAAACTCACGATGGCAGTCCAGAGGAGTAGAACGGGTGTTGCAATGTCACCGCCGTCAATACTGATGAAGGAAAGTGCGAAGTAAATAATAATTCTTGTTACAAGCATTAAAACGCAAAAAAGAAAATAAAAAACTTTACCAACTGAATTTTCCAGAGACGAATAAGCGGGAAACACTTTGCTCACTTCATGGGACCATCTAGAAATAAAATGTAATAGCAACGTGAGCTGTACAATAGTTGCAAAAAAACGAAGTTAAGTCTATTCGCGTGACAGAATGTGCACATTGTTTCACCATTCTCAAAACTTCAGCAAAGTGTAAGAGCTGATAATTCATTCAAACAGCTCGAACTACGCAACCTCACAACATACGTTCTCATCGTTTGCGCATGTCATTTCCCGCTAATACCACTAGGCGCTTTGAATGCGCCAAGGATGCACTGTCGGATTTCATATTCGTGTATACGTGGCTTCTTGATTTTGTGCGAACATCGGTACAAAATAAGTGAACTATGATTTGTAAACGAGCAAAATAAAGGAATTCGTCAAGAAAATATTCGCTAGCTGTTCACTACGCGACAGGGTTAACACAAAGACGACATCAGCGATTTTTCTGAAATTTTACTGAGACAAGAAAATGCTGAACACAAAAACGCACTTTTTAGGTTCGAGCCCTGAATAAGCACCCTTTGACACACTAGCACATTTGATAGCAGCTATTTAGTAGACGGATTTTCCCGAGAGCGCTCGGCGCATGCTTGGCGCTACGATAACTTTAGCTCACAGGAGGCTGGAGGCAGAGGTCGGGGAGCCGCGGAGACGCAGCGAGGTTTATGCACCCTTCACAAACAGTAAAATTTTCAGGATGCATTGCGGAAGCGGCGGTCTAGAAAAATTGGCTGGTGAGATTGATCTGTTATATAGTCCCCGTCTGCTCAAAGGATTATTTCAACAGATTTGACATCAGGGTTGGGCAGAAATACTCAAAAATGTATTTGGAAATACAAATACTGGGATACATTAAAATAGTAGCTAAAATACTGATACTGAAATATATCTGTAAAAGTGTATCGCGATACGTATCGGAAGTACATTTTAAATAAAGGCCAAAAGTATTTGGAAATACAAATACAGGAATACATTTTAGGGAGGGCAGAAATACAAATACAGAAATACTGATAGTGCAATACATTTTTCAAATTTGTTTGAAACGCCAAATGGGATGAAGCTTGAAGTTGTAGGTGGAAGTTTTTGATTCTGGAATTACTTTCCCGCAAGCTTGGCGCTTTGCCTTGAAGGTAGTGATTTCGGACGACGAGTAGTCTTCAGTGGGCTCAAAGAAACGTTCCATCAAAGACTGACCGCGGTCCCTTCCCTGACATCCTGTCTGTCTGACGAGGGATGCGAAAAGACTTCGACCGCTATATAAATTTTTGTGTCTTCCTGAATTGCATTAAAATGTCGCCATGCCCCTGTCCAATAAGGACGCCCCTGTTAACATTTATCACATGACGTCACGGCCGAATGAACTGGTATTCTTTGTCTGTAGGTGTGGCCTTGAACATGAAACTTTACCGCGCTGTTGTACGAAAGGACAATACGTGCTTTCGTTGTAGGTTACCTCGTTGAAGATCATGCAGGCAGTGTCATTTGGAATTTTCGAGAATAGTGGGCCACCTGAAGCATCCTGGAACACAGGTCTTCTGTTACGGTTGATAAAACGATACGGTGGCATCCCTGTTGTGAAGGTCCTTTCTACCAAACCTCCCCCACCGACGAATGGATTGCAGTCCTCAAGTTTCGTCTTGCATACACCAGATAGAGACCTCGCGGATTGCGACCTGATATTTCCGGCACAGGTTCGAGCTCTCCGAGAAACAGCGCGCTCGAGACGAGTCGCAGGTGTACGAATTCTGGGTCGGCACAGCGAGGCCACGTCTGACCTCCGTCCTGGGTTTCGGATCACCAGAGCAGCGGGTCACTTTCACATCGGCTGATGACGTACCCCTGAGCCGTGCAACATTACGGGCGCAGCCGCAGACGCATTTAAATATGTGTTGAACTTCACTGCGTGAGTCATCCTACTATTTCAAATCAACCACCGCCAGGTTTCGTGCTGCAATGGACTGTGAATCAGCTTTGCCGGCTGGGTGTACTGTGAATGCTAAGGCAAAAGAGACGGTTAGCAGCGGGCTTTGGATGCTAGCAAACAATGACTCAAGAAACCCCTACCAAAGGACCTGCGGCACAAGGTGCTCTGACTCCACTCCTGGCACTCTACCTGGTTAGAGTCCCCGACTACGCAACACTTCTCAGAAGAGAGAAGAGGACACATAGAAAAATAGTTTGGAAAATCGGAAGGAACCTTGGGTCAGCATGGTAACAATGCCCCAGCATCTTCTTGACCCTAATGTCCTCAGAAATAAAAAAAATAAAAACGCTACCGGATTTTTTTTTTTTTTTTGGGGGGGGGGGGGGTGTATATCTCAAGAAATGTAACGAAATACATTTCACCTTGATTGTATCGCGATATGAAGAAACATTCAAAATGTATTTCGATACAGGAATACAGATACTGGTGAAAAAAAGGTATCGCGATACAGAAATACTGATACAAAATGTATTTCTGAAATACTATCGCGATACATTTGTATCGCGATACTGCCCAACCCTGTTTGACATATACCCGTCGTGTTCAGAAATAAGCTGAGTATGATCCACAATATCCCTAAATGACAACCGCACGTTTGTATTTTGAGCCTGATGGCTGTATTTTTCGTTAGAAACATCCCACTCTGGCAAGCGCTCGGAAAGCAGCCAGCGGAGAGCACGTGACATCCGGCGCCACCGTGACGTAGATTGTCTCGGAACGAGCAAAGCTGCGGCGAGGCTCGTTCCGAACACGCCAGCGATTGGGCCACCGCAACTAACCGAAAAACAGCTTTTGTACGAACATTGAGTAACGCCTTTATTCTTCTATAATCCTGTAAATGGATAATAGCGACGTCTGGGGACACTCAAACGAGAGTTCCAGGGAGAGGGGAGTTTCTCCTCCCCCCGTCTCTCGTGGTAGACGGCGGCGCGCCAGGCATAGTCAATACCTGTCAAGGCTCCTAGACTGGCATCACAAACGAGGCTTTAGCGACATCCACCAGGTGCTCTTTGCTAATCGTTTAATTCGTTTTAAAACTCCTTTTATTGTCGTTTTCAAAAAGAGATTGGTAAATCTGATGCGGTACTGCTTTCTTGAACACATATAGACCAAGAATTAAACACCGAAATTTTGTTGTAGTATCCCTTGAAAAGGGCACTGACACTAAGACGAAACATTTTTTTTCTGCCTGGTTAGGATAAATACGTCTCAAAAATTAAGTTCGTCTAAAAAAAAATTTTTGTCAAATATTTATGTTACAATACGAAATTTTTCATTTCCGGCCCAGACCGAAGCTGCAACCCCGTGGGATGATAATGATGATAACTTTTGTGCCCAACTATACTGTGTTTCACTTTGTGTTGTACCGCAGGAAAGGCTACAAGCGCGAGCTCCTTGCTCTATGGCACACCTCGGTGGCGCAAACTCTTGTGCACCAACGGCAGTTGCCAACGCTATGAGCTCGCGCTTCTAGCCTTCGCTGCGGTGCAACATAAGGTTTAACGGAGTATAGTCTGCGCTCTGAGGTAACCCTTACAAACAACTCATATCTCGCCAGATATAAAGATTTCGGATATGGCCATATCAAAAGTTGGCCTCATAAAACCTGATATGGTATATCTGCCAGATATAGCCTCATAATGCCAGATAGAGCCTGAAACCTCTGGCCAGGTATGGAAATCCCAGATCTGGCTAAGTAACGAAATTCCAGATCTGGCCAGGCATATCTAAAGGACACAAGCCTGAAATCAACACTTCTACAATTCTCCCAAGTGCCCCGGCCCGCACTCGAGAAATTATGGAAACGCTGATCCTTCGGCTCCCTATTGATCGCTAGTTTTGACCAATTCCATGGTTCCACAGTTTCGAGTGTAATTCGTAGTCATCCTGAAGAAGCGCCCCATAGGGCTCAAGGACCTGTCATATCACGTTTAAAAATTTTCGTCAATGGCAGCGTTTATGACACTGTCTGTCCAAACTTCAAACAGGCTGAGCCGCCGAAATCTCTTACAATATTGACGTTCTCGTGATTGTTGTTTTAGCAGGAATTACTTAAAAGGCGAGAAATCACGACAGCCAAAACCGGGATTTAGTTCGGATTCCGCGGAGCTGTTTATAGCATGTTTAGCGCTTCTAACTCAATATCAGCGTCTTTGAAGCTGTACGAGAATGATAGTAGTGTAAGATATGTCTGCAGCTCATCCAGGTTGAAGGTTGGACAGAGTGCACAGTACTGACATTGGCGGGACATTTTAAAAGTGGTGTGACAGGTACTTGGGTCCTATACGACACTTGTTCAAGGTGACTCCGAATTACACTCAAAACTGTAACTATAAAATTGGTCGTAATTTTGGATCACTAGTCAGCTGAAGAAACACCGTCCCCATGATTCCTCGAGTACAGGCCGAGGTGCTTGGGGGATTTAGCAAATCGTCTATTCGGGCGTAATGTTATCACTTTGAAATAATTAAGCTACATTGAAATCCTCGTCAAAATTAGCACAAACAATCTCAAACTTAAGGTTGCCAAAGTTGAAGTTTGGTTTTATTTGTGCAAATATTTAGCTCGCGAACAATGAGTCATTCACAGTTTGCTAACAAAAAATGTTTTTAAATTTTTTAATACTTTTTAATATATTGAAAACTGGCCGCCAGATAAAGCTGTATATACTCCAGATAAAGCTTTATATACGCCAGATAAGGCTGTATAAATGCCAGAAAATCTGTATATACGCCAGATTAGGCTCTATATATTACAGATAAGGCTTTATATTCGCCAGATAAGGCTGTATATACGCAAGATAAGACTGTATACATGCCGTATATAATCACATAATGTTTGATATGGCCAGATATGCCCCATATAAAAGTTTCCATACGGGAACGATGAGGTCTAGCAAAGGTCGCTGGACCCCTGTTTGACCTGAAATATGTTTTTATTAAAGAAAAAAAAGAAACTAAGCTTTTTGAAACCGAAACCGAAACATGAGTTCGGAAGCTCATGGCACTGACATTTGAATGGGGTGTACCGAGGATAAGGCAGAAATG